CAACTTGATCAATGTCTTTTGTATGTATATTATTTTAAATATGAGGTTTCTAAGACTAATACATGTACACCCATTACCCATATATATGCATTTATATATGTGAATAGTACCATGACGATAACTATTGCAATTTTTTTTTTTAAAACACAATAAATATTGCTAACTATAAGGTGATTAATGATTATATGCAAAGATCATCTTTACGTCTTCTGAATATATATGGTCCTATGACAATAATCACATTACGTTGAGTTTTATTTCTATATAATAATTCAAAAAAGAGTTTTATTTCTATATATTGGAGAGAATACGGAATTGGATGATTGCGAATCTCCACTAGATATTATATATGTAGGTACAGATTACCAACTAAACGTGATACTTTCTAAGAAGCTTTTACCACCAGAACTTTATAAGTTCAGAAGCTTCATAATACGGTGGCAAAATAATGATGATCATAGCCCATTCATCACTATATACTTAGGATTTATGTGTTCACTAGGTATTATGTAATTTTAACCTTATAATTAGATTAAATCAAAACATATGGCAATGTGTTCAATAGGTATTGTTTTTTTTTTCTTTTTTTTTCTTTTTTTTTCAATAGGTATTGTTGTCCGTGAAGTTAATTGTCCCAAGATATTTTCTTTTTGAGAACAAGACCGACACGTAATATGGAGTTAAACCAAAAAAAAAACTATATATATGTATATTAGATATCATGATTTAGGAATTTTGTAAAACCAAACACTTATATCTACATCCATCTGAAAAAAAAATATGTACATCCATATAAAAGTTACCTCATACATAAATTGAGTGGAACAAATGTATACATTATACATATAAATTAAAGAGTTACATTGAGACAGTTTAAAAGGATGCTTATGGATAAATTAATGTTAAAGCAGAAACGTTCTCTAGAAGAAATACTAAAGGGGAAATTTCGTCAACCAAAATAAATTACTAAAGAGATTTTTTCGATCGTACTTCCTACAAAAATTTGATATCTTTTGACGAAAATATTAAAAAAGGAGTTTTATATACACTTTTGTCTACTGCATAAGGTTATGCTCTTGATTTTGGGTATTAGGCCGCTCCCTTATCATCATTAGTTTGTCTTTTTGTTTTTCGGAAACCCATTCATCATACGAAGTTTACCGAAAATAAAATAAAGACAACACTGAAAAGAAATCACATTCATCTGTCCCACGTGTGCAAAGAAAAGAATTTGAGCACTCTTGAATTCTACTTTAGAAATGTAAAAATGATTTATATATGTTGAATTGCTTGGGATTCCTACAACCGTGTGGGCACCTCACTTTAGAAACTTGAACCCGACTTTTCTAAACCCTAACCTTTTGTTTTTCTTTCTTTCTTTCGTCTATTTTTCTCATCTTTTACTTATATGGCTTTTAACATATATTAACTCATGCACGCTCTCCCTATGCCTACAAGCTTTCTAGGAATCCGATGTCTATCTTAATCTTAGAGCACCCCCATTGAAGGTTCAATGGGGGGTTTTGCACAGAAACCAATAAAAAAAAAAAATTAAATAATGTTACTTTTCTGAACCGGGGTCGTGGGGGATTGTCTGCAAGAGGCGAGTTCGTTACTGTTCCGCGGGCCCCACGCCACGTGGCGGCCCGCGATAGGTCTATTTTTTTTTTTCTTTTTTTTTCTTTTTTTTAGAAAAGTAACGAAAAAAAAGAAAAAAAAAAAAAAAAAAAAGAGAAAGGGCACGTGGCGAACCTGGCGACGAGTTTGCTGGTGCAGCTGCTCTTAGCTTTTTTGCTTAATTACAGTTTCGTCAATTGGGCCTAAATTCATCATAATTTTTAGATCCAACTATTTAGCAAAGCTATGATCCAAGTGACTAAGTGAGGAGTGTTATATATATAATATATATACTAAATTAATGAAACTGGTTGAGGTTTTAATTCGACAATCCAATCTGCATCAGCTATCACCTAAATTTGCATTGATCAATAAGAATATGTCTAATGAAACTTATAATAATTGATGGAGGCCACTAAAATACAATCAATTCATTTAATGAATAATCTTTTGTTGCTAACTATACTTCTCGGAGGGTGTGAATTTTCTTTCATACTATATACTAATCTTTGTGGCTTTTTATATTTTGAAATAACATATTATGAATTAAGAAAGAGATAGAGAACGGTATATGACACAATTGCATAGTTTAAGGTTAGTTGTCACGTCGTAAAAATAAAAGAGTACTTAGTTGTCACTTGTCAGATTGACCATTTGACCAAAACAGCTTTTTGTTTCTTAAACATAAACCATTTGCCCAAACCCCAAAGAGTTACACTGCTAATTATCCAAATAAAGTTAACTTTATCCGAATATGTACATGACCAAATTCACAGGAAAAGCAATTCGTTTCATTCCAAAAGAACATACAAAAAAACCTATATGAAGACAGTTACTAAAATTCACATCAAAACGATTAAAACATAAACTAAGGAATGAGTGAACACTTTATATACACTAAAGCCCACATAAAGATGGCAACTAAAACCAACACTAAAACAACTTATAGTATCAAAACAAGAAGACCATAATCGACTCTACTTAAATGCTAAAAATACCTGAGAGCATCTTTGTAGAAGCCAATGATTGGGGATTACAGTTGCTGCCCATAACCCGTCACACGATAATCAGACGCATTTATAAACATGGTATATGTAATAAATTATGTAAATGTATATACGTACACTATGCGGCAATGCATGTGGCTTAAAGCTTTAATTTTTTTTTTTTTTTTTGTCAACTGGCTTAAAGCTTTAATTAAACTATGAAAATTCTGCAAATATTGCGTCTTTATCAACAGCTGAGAGCCCTTTTCTCTTTATGTTAAATCAATCCTCCAATCATTTCTATTTTTCCAAGATTCCACCGCCCATACACTCTCTAGCTTATGCACACTCCGAAGTACGTGTGCGTTTACTACTGTATATACATTAGTAACATTACTCTTATATGTATTCGCACACCAATGTTTAATCACGGCCAGGGCCGATCCTGGGCCAAGCCGGAGGAAACATTCGCCTTGGGCCCCCAAATTTTTTGAAAAAAATTACATATACATAGGCCCCCAAAAAAAAATTTTAGGGCCCCAAATATGTAAAAAAAAATTTTTTTAGGTGAAACCGTTTAAAAATCGCCTTAGGCCCCTTATTTCTCAGGGCCGGCCCTGATCACGGCCTTACGTGAATGAAATAGTGGTAAGTTTTATAGTCAAGAGGTGATTCAAAATTTTGAACACCCGATTAGGTTTAATTTTAATAAACACGGCTAGCGAGTAATTCATTTACCGTATTTGGCAGAGCTAGAGTGTAACAAATTGTTTCGATTCTTAGGTGATTCAATGTTTGAGGAAACTCAATACTTTACCACCACTTAATTAATATTGGCAAGTTGACCTATACGACTTCATCAGTCATACATAAGTTTTTGGATTTTGGTTCAACCCCTTACGGATTATACAAATAACCTGATCGTTTATTGTAGTCCCTTTAATATTTTCTATATTTTAGATATGTAGAAATATATATATATATATATATATATATATATATATGTGAGTGTGTGTGTACAAAAAATTAAGATATGATTAATTTGGTCTAGTGGAATCAGAAAAAAATGACAATAATAATGAAATTTATTTGTGTATGTATGAACGCATGTCTACATAAATATAAAACGCAACGTAAGAACAAAAGGAAACCTATCTTAAAAACAAAAACAAATGATACATATACAGTTATATAACCATATAATATTTGCAAAGAAAAGCATAAAGGTCAAGGGAATGGAGAAGACTGCCTCAGTTTTGGTGAGAATATGTCAGACATCAAAGCAAATTCTCACAACCAAACTTCAGTTTATATGTAGACTCACTTATCCATACTTTTAGAATCCAATGAAGGTTTACTTCGTCGTTATATATGTGGACCATGGTCAACATCGCATATAACAGCCTAGACTAGTTTCTAGTTTGAACGACATTCTTTTGTTTTGTTGGATACGATAGCTTAGATCAATTTCTAAATTGTGGTTTTCTGTATAGAAATGTATCATCCGGTTAGTTTAAACATTTTAATTTCTACTCGCATGAAATATATTTTAAATTGTGGAATCTAAGTGATTGTTATATATTTAATCCTATATTTTATGTGCGGTCGTACTCATTCAATATGCAGAGGGCATGACCCCAAAAGCTTGAAGGGTGTGTAAGAGTAGGACCAAACCGTAACATTTTTAATAATTATAATAGAATTGTTCCTCACAATTATAACATTCTTTTGTTTGTTTAATTTGGCTGTCACATTATTGTCTGATTATAATCATGTAAGACAATATAATTAGTTGCAGACTCTCGCAGGCATATTTTCATGAAAATTGTATTCAGTATACATTACAGCAAGAATTTCTATTTTAAAATTTGCAAAAAACAAAAAAAAATCTTGCAGAAAAGGACATAAATGTGAGCGTACATATATGTACATCTTAATTTCTAATACGAAATGATGACCAATGTACTACTGCAATATCTAGGCTTACGTTACCACAAAGCCCACTAACGGGATTTTAATTAATAGTGAAACTTCTATAAATTAATATTGGAACTACATGATATACTAATTGAATAAAAAATCAATTTAAAACTATAAAATTATATTATTTAATAGAAATTTTAATGTATATTAATTTGTAGAGTATTAATTTAAAAATGTTATACTGAATATTCACATATACTATTTCTGCTTTTCTATTTTTGAATCTACATAAATAATAAAGGATCTTCCATATTATTAAACTTTTATCTATCTTTCTTTCCGAATATTTAACCAGATATTTATCAAAAGAAGCAAAAACAGGGTACATAATTAATGATGCAACTTTATTGAATATTTTCTTAACAACACAGACAAATTGAAGATCATAGTACTATCTTGATTGCATGATGAAAATCAAATGGCAGTAACTGCAATTTTCATATTTCGTTCACAATGGCCTGGAAAACTGCAGATGAAGAAGTTTTGTCCTTTAGACAACGTTAGACTATCTTTACCTGAAGTGTATGTTGTCGCACCTGCCGGTGTTTTGCAATTGTTGTACCCTCCACTATCCACCACGACCACGTTGTGGAAACTCGGATTATAATTAAACACTATAACAAAATTTTGAACATTGTCAACAAATGAAAGTGTTTGCAGACTATGATACATATAAATATTTAAACATGATTTTGCATATGCATTCTTGGTTAAAACACATTTTAGACATATTTTGGATATGACAGCAAAAACTTAATTGCTTGTGGCAAAACAATAGAATATTATCAAAGCTTAATTAAAGAATGTTATGTATTACCGAGAACGTCACCGGCTTTAAAATGTTTGCCTTTAGGCCAATCCACAACGTTAAAGGCCCATTTCAAAGAATCACCAACAATGTAAGTCGCAGCTTGAACATAGTCTACTTGAAGTGCCAACACTGAGACAACCATCAAAGCTACTATTACACGTGCCGAGCATGATGCAGTTCCTCTTCCCTTGGCCATGGATCAATCTTCTTAGAAAGTGTATACAGTTACAGAGAGGGAGGTAGATGGAATATAGATAGTGAATGAGAAGAACAAACCTACAATATATGAAGAGAAAGTGGACAAAGAGTTTTTAAAGAAGATATTGAAACATTTACTACAGTTTTGTTTTGTTTCATCAAAGGGGCATCTCAATAATCCACAATATATGGTCATATATCATTTATGGACACATCCCCTATATATTATTTGGGGATCATTTAAAAAGTTGTAACCTTAAATTTGTATTAACTAAAAATAACTCCAATCCTATGTGACATATTTCTTTGCTTTCTAAATTTTATTTAACACAATTCTAGAGCACTTTACATATACCATAGTTTAAACATATATTTACAAGAAAGATGTTGGTCACATATCTTATTAATATTAAAAATTTATCATTCATTCTTTCCTTAAATAAAAAAACTACGGAATTATCTAATGTAATTAAAAGATATATAATAATTAATAATTTCAGTAATAAAGATTTGCTAACAATTTATATACCCTCTACCATATTTGTTTAAATATTTGTTATTAAAATAATCTACACATTACATTATTTATATAATAAAAATTTATATTTTTCGTATATATTGTATTTTGAATTTTTTAAAACGGGTATAAATTACTAAATTGTTAAATATCTTAAATAAACTTTTTGTGATCAATGGTTTAAATTTTTATTATAATAAGATACAAATCATTATAAAATACAAGAGTAAGACGTCTTATTTAATATGTTTATATTAATACACATATATATAATTTAAATTAAATTACATACCATATAAAATACATACTTATATTTTGATATTTTCATTGAAAAATACTTATAATTTAATATTTTAATTTTAAATTTTGCATTCAATTTTTAATAGTTCAATTTTTTTTTATAAAATATATTGATAATCATAAAACCTTATAATGAGAAAATTCATTTACTGAACATCCATATTTAAAATATATTATAGATATTGTTAATGTCATTTAAATTTAATTGTATCTAATATATGATGGATAAAATTGATTGTGTTGATTTATTTACCATAAAATGATTGTTAATAAATAAGAATAATCGTTTGATTTAAATACACACACCAAATCCCATATATATTAAAGTTATAACGTTAAATTTGTACTAATTAAAAAAACCCTATCTTATGTGGTAGTTCTCTATGAATTTCTACTTGGAAGAATTCTATAACACCTCATATAAAACCTAGTTTTAAAACAAAGTCCGTTGGTCTCATATAAGACATATCAAACTAAATCTCCTCTATATATTTTTCCTTAAATAAAACCTATGGAATTAACTAATGTGATTAAGATATATATGATTATTAATGCTTTTAAATAATAAAGATTTGTTAACAATCTGTATACTTTATAGCATTTTTTTAATTTTTTTATTATTAAAACAAATTACACAACTACACCAATTATATAATAAAAATTTAGACTTTTTATATATGTTGTATTTTGAAATTTTTAATACGAGTATAAATTACAAAAACGGTTAAAAATCTCACATAAACTTTTGTGATCAAGGTCTAAATATTTTTTCTATAATAAGTTACAATGATTATAAAATCATATGAATAAATAATTTTATTTTAATAGGTGTTTACGTTAATATATATATATATATCTCATATCGCAATAAATAATTTTATTTTAAACATAATTATAATTTAAAATTTAACTTAATTTTTATTAAATTAATTTTTATTTAAAAAATATTTTTTTAAAATATAGCTTTCTGATATTATTAGACAAATAAATAATTAATTAAATTAGTTTTGAAATTTTTTATATTCTAAATGCGAATATTCTACCAACTGTTTCTTAATAAAGCATGAGGAAACTTGATAATGCTCTACCAATTAAGCCATGTGACACTCTGTTTATTTTCTATCACTCGAACAGTGAAAAGTGAAAAGATATATGAACCGGACCCATTAAATTATAAGTTTTGATCTGCAATTCTAATTACAATAGTTTATGATCCTACGTATAGATAATTATATAAAAATTCTAAAATTTCAAATACATATAAAAACAATCATATGTAAATTTAAAATTTGTGAATATTAAGATCTTATATTTTAATTACATACACTCATCTTTATCCTAGTTGTCTATGTAAATTGACTTTAGTCACTCAAAATATCTTTGTTTGGTTTATTTTTGTTTTGTTAGGACGCAAGGATCCAAATTGAAAATTTTAAAACAAAAACGTTGGTAACAATATATAGTATAAGGCAGTAAAACGTTAAAAATTCATGAAGAACATATACAAATATATAGAGTCGAGATTTAATCTTTTTTTGTTAACTCAATAATTCGTCTGTCTTAAGTTTGGTACTATTTTTGAGTCTCAAAATAAAACCACATAACAGTGTTTTGCATCATCTAAAATAGAATATGTGAATTCAATGTGAAATGTTCAATAGTTTTAATAATTTATAATCGTTCTTAGAGATTCGCAACAATTTTAAAATTAATTTTTAAGCTCTCAATCCTTGTTCATGGCAAATTTTGAAAATTGAAAAATTTGTGTTTTTTATATGATAGATACTTTAATATATATATATATATATATATATATATATATATATATATATATATATATATATATAAATAACTATTAAATGGGATTTTACTCATAGAATTTTAGATCATGTATATGTTTTAGAGTATTTTTAAAAAAAATCATGATCACAAATTTTTTAATGTGAGTTTAAAAGTTTTAGTAATTTATAATTAATTTTTAAAACTAAATTATAACATATAGGACAAAAATATTTTTATTATATAATTAATGTGATTTTTTATTTTATGTTAATATACAATATTAAACATAAATGATGAAGGATAAATAAATTGTTAATAAATCTTTATTAGTAAAATCCTTGATTGTGGTATATATACTTTTATCATGTTAGGTAATTCTGTAGTTTTTATTTAAGAAAAAAATGAAAATATTAATTGTAATTCTATTTTATTAATTTAGAGTCCTAATTTTAAGGGTTAATTGGTGAGATAGCTAATTTTAGAGAGATAATTAAGAATATAGCATATGATTTGACATTATTTGATCTCATAGCATTTTGTTCTTATTTTTTCTCGGTTCTCTCCTTTTTCTAAGCCAGTTGCCTGTAACAAAAGTACATGCCATTTAAAAAAATAAAAATAAAAAGATATTAGATTAGTGGTGCTTATAATATCCACGTTGATTATGGTGATAATAGATAAATGGAATAGAACATGCTAAATGGTATAGTTTATATTAAGTAAATATAAAATTATATAAATATAATAATATTCTATATATATCCAAAATTAATAAAATTAAACGCAAATTTTCTAAAAACTAAACCCTAAACAATAATCACTAAACCCTAAAGGAAATGTAACCCTAACCCAAATATCAAAATATGTGCATAGTACATAATATTAAGTATTATCAAAACAGAATAGTAACAAACGAAATATCATAGTACATAATGGATAAATTTTAAAATATTTTTGACTGCAGAGAATGAAGTAGTCTTACCCCAAAATCAACCTAAATCTTCTAACAACTAAACCCGAAACACTAGTTACTAAACCCTAAGAGAAAATATAAACTCTAATCCGTATATCAAAAATGCACATAATACATCGTATGAATCATTATCAAAATAGAATAGTAACAAAGAAAATAGCATAGCATATATTAATGTTCAAATTTTGAAATATCTTTGATTGCAAGGAAGGAGGTAATATTTATCCTAAAGTCAAACCATATCTTCTATAAACTAAATCCAAAACACTAATCACTAAACCCTAGAAAGAAAATATAAACCCTAACTCAAATATTATGCACATAATACATAATATGAAGTATTATTGAAATAGAATAGTAACAAACAAAATAATATAGCATATTAATGTTCAAGATTGCAAGGAAGGAGATAATGTTTACCCTAAAGTCAATCCAAACATTCCATAAACTAAACCTAAAATACTAGGACATTAAACCCTAAAAGGAAATATAAACCCTAATTTAATATAAAAGATGCATATAATACATACTATGAAACATTATGGAAATAGAATAGTAAACAAATAAAATAACATAGTACATATTGTTCAAATAACATAGTACAATCGAGAACTTACCGGAAAACAAGGATGTCACCGTAACGCTGTCTGATCTGTAAATTTTTAAAAGATGGTGGTGACTAATATCAAGGAAATGGTAGTTAACAAAATGAAATTGGTTAATAAATAAAAACAATGATGATAGTTGATATGATAAATAGAGATCCAAATGACTAATTTTTTTTTTACAAAAAATGATAGTGAATTGGAAGAAGTGATGGTGGTAGGTAAGTGAAGAAGAAGAAGTGGTATGTAAGTGAGGAAGAATAAGTTTGTGCACGTATTAACCGGGAAGGAGGAGTAATATAGTATACATTATAATAATAGTTGAGTGTGTTTTTTTTTAGCTAGATACCTAATTACATGTTATTTTATGGCTACTGAGGCCAATTCCCCTAATTTTAACTACTCATAAAAAGTCACTGGACTATATCATCTATAATTAATATCTTTTTTTAGTTGATTATCTACTCTCTAATCTAATCTAATATATAATATCTACAGAAAATGTAACTAAAACTTTTCTAAAACAAACCAATGACCTTATATGCTATTAAAATATATCTCATTCTAAAAGAGAAACATGATTACACATTTATCTTCATGGTTTTTGTAGGGTATGTTACTTTGGTTTTTTCTTTGCCTAGAACATTCATTATCGTCAGTTTAAGGCCATGTAATTGTATTAATGTACTCTGATGAACTACATAATGATTTTAAAATATCACAGAAAATAAGAACTATAACTTAGCAATTATATAGTCAAAATATAATGTCAGTTACATTATATAAAATACCAAATTTTAAATAATACATCAACTTTTTAT